AGTGCTGGAGATTGAACCCGAGCTTTCATACATACAGTGGCTACACCTCAAATGCTTCCTTTTTTCTTTTCTTTCTTTCCTTTTTTTTTGGTACCGGGGATTGAACTCACAACGCCACACTTGCTAAGCAGACGCTTATGCCACTGAGCTAAATCCCTGGCCCCAAGCTTCCTTTTTGCTTTGGTTTTTTTTTTTTTTTTTTTTCCTTTTTTTTTTTCTTTTTCATTTTTATCAGTACCAGGGATCGAACTCAAAACCGCACACTTGCAAGGAAGGCGCTTATGCCGCTGAGCTAAATCCCCAGCCCCTTTGCTTTGGTTTGTGTTTTTTTGAGGCAGCCCTCACTAAGTAGTTAAGACTGGCCTTGAATTCAGTTATGTGTAACCCCAGCAGGCGTCAGACTCACAGCATCCTCCTGACTCAGCTTCCTGAGTACTGGGATTACAGGTGTGCACCATTATACCTGGCTCAAGTGCTTTCTTTCTTCCTTTTCTTTTTCTTTTTTTCTTTGGTACCAGGGATCAAACTCATGACTGTGCACTTGCAAGGCAGGTGCTTATGCCACTGAGCTAAATCCCCAGCCCCTCAAGTGCTTTCTTGTAGGATTTAAGGATTATATCTTTATTCTTTGGTACCAGAATCAAACTTAAGACCTTGTACTTCCCCGGCAGGTGCTTGTGTCACTGAGCTATAGCTTCAACCCTCAAGTGCCTTCTTTATTAAATTTTTATAATCTGATAAAACACTCATTTAGGGGCCAGGGATTCAGTTCAGTGGTGCAGTGCCTGCCTGGCAAATGTGAGGTCCTGAGTTTGATTCCTGGTACCCTAAAAAGAAAAAAAAAACCACTCGTTTATTATCTGAGCATAGTGGTGCACCCTGTAACCTCAGCATTCTGGGAAGCTGAGGCAAAGGTACTGGGTCCAATCCCCACTACCACAAAACAAAACAAAAACAAATACCTAGCTTATCCATGAAACTCCAGCATTTTGAAGAGTTGTACTTAGTCCAGTATAGCTCAATTCAAAAGCCCCTTCTAAGTCTGTCAGTAATGCTATTTATAACATGAGGAAGCATAACCCAGTTTTTAATACATTGTTAGGGTAGGGGCAGGAGGCAGCAAAGCTATGGTGAGGAAGTAGATACAGTCAAAAGGAATCATCCTCTGACCACCATACCTTAGAGTCTGGAGTCTGGCCTCGTCATATTTGAAGCAGCTTTGTATTGTTTTGTTATGCTTATCTTACTATGTAATCCAGCCTGGCTTTGAACTCACAATCCTGCCTCAGCCTCCCGAGTACTGAGATTACATCATGCAGTATATAGGTGTTGTCTTTTTTTTTTTTTTTTTTTTTTTTTTTTGAGATACTGGGGATCTAACAAGGGATAAGTGTACTACTAGGCAAGTACTCCACCATTGAGCTACTCCAGCCTCCATTAACAACAGGAGTTATAAATATTTGCCTAGAGATAGAACCCATGGCCTTTGTCTTGAGCTACATCTCCAGCCATCTATTGATTGATCGAGTGATTGATTGATTGAAAGGATCTTGTTAAATTGCTAAATTCCCCAGGCTGGACTCAAACTTGTGATCCTCTTGCTTCAGTCTTCCAAATGCTGGAATTATAGACATACGCCATTGCAATTGGCTACACTTTTGAGAATAAAAATAGATACTGGTAATAATGACCGCTGGATAGATGATGCATTGCTTGTAATCCCAGCACTCTGATAGGCTGAGACAAGAATGTCAAAAGTTTGCCTGGGCAATTTAGTGCACTCTTTCTAAATAAATAAAGCAAGTTAGGGATGTAGCTCAGTGAAAAGGTCCTGGATTCAATCCCCAGTACAAAATGCTGCTGCTGCTGCTGCTGCTGATGATGATGATGATGATACTGATTTGATGATAATCAGCATAATAATGACAATGACAATACTGGGTCAGGAGGCATAAACTGAGACAGTCTTGGCCAAACTGGGATGTCTGTTTCTTGCGTGAGGCAACCAGCTGTTAGATCAGTGGGCTTTTGGGGGGGGCGGGCAAAGACTGTACTGTATTGACTGGGTACTCTCAGCATCTTCCCAAGGCCTGATGCAGGACAGGTGCTCAGTGCTACATGTTGGCTGAATGGATGATCCAGGTGTGGGAAAGGGCAAGGAGTCCTTTTAAAGGCTCCCTGGAATGTTGAGGGGGAGCCCTGCTGGCAGCCCAGAGGACTACCTTTATACCCTCTGTTTATGATATCTGGGCATTTGTGCGGATATTCCTTTTGAGTACTGTACTTTTGACTTTTGTATCCAGCACTTAGATAATTTTCACCATACCTGACTGAGACCCACCAGCCTGAGTCCATATAGGTGCCCAGCATGGGAGCCTCTCCCTGTGCTCTTCATTGCTAGCATCTGCAAATGCTGTGGGTCTGGAGACTCACAGTCCCAAGCAGCCTTGAACTCTGCCATCCATCTTCAGTGGTTCCCTTCCGCTGTCCCTCTCAGGCTCTTGCTGCACAGCCCCAACCCCAGGGCTACCTGGAAGCTCTCCTGAGTGCCCCACACTTTCATCTATGAGGGCCCTGCATAAAGGTGCTAGGTGAGTACAAGGGGTGTTCAGCTAGGCTGAGACTTAGCCACACAGTTAGCCTCCCTCATTATTCTTATGATCAATACACCTACTTGGCCATGCGCACTTTCCCCTTCTTTTTTTTTTTCTTTTTTTTTTTGTCTTTTTCCTTTTTATCGGTACCGAGGATCAAACTCACGACTGCCTGCTCACAAGGCAGGTGCTTATGCCGCTGAGCTAAATCCCCAGCCCCCACTTTCCCCTTCTTTTTGGAGCTTTCTAGTGGTTTGAGAGGGGAGTGCAGAACCCAAACCCCCAGGAACACAGGAGGGAGTCCCCAGTCTCTCTGGCCTGACTCTGGGAACCCATAGAAAAGAAATGCTCCACTTTTCCCAAACTCAAACTTGTATGGGCAGAACAGCCAAGAAGAAAGGGTTGACAGCAGAGAGATGCCTTAGACCTGTTTTCCCAACTGTAAAATGGAGGGATTACATAGATAATCTCCAAGAGTTGATCTAGCCTGATATTTTACATCTCTGTCCCCAACTATGGCTCTGAGCTGGGACATCGTCTTCATCTCTTCTGGTTCTGATTTTCTGTAATAGTTTATATTCTGGCAGCTTCATGCCTTGTGGAAATGATCTGCTAGAACTCCAAGTTGATAGTCTCCTTTTAGCCACCCAAGAAGTTTGTCCTTGACAATAGGCCTATTTTGTTCACTAGTATATTAGCACCTAGCGTTCAAGGTTGATTTTCTTTTTTTTGTCTTTTTTTGGTCTTTTTGAGTCAGGGTTTTACTATTTAGTCCAGATGGACCTTGAGCTCACTTTTTTGTGTGCAGGCTGGCCTCGAACTTGCAGTGATCCTCTTTTTTTTTGTCTTTTCATTTTTATCGGTACCGGGGATCGAACTCACGACTGCCTGCTTGCAAGGCAGGTACTTATGCCGCTGAGCTAAATTCCCAGCCCCTGCAGTGATCCTCTTACCTTAGCCTCCTTCATGCTAGGATTTTGGGCATGAGCCATCACCATACTTGGGCTGGCATCCAGGGTTGAAGGATTAGTTCCAGAAAAGTCCTATGACCGAGTCTCATTGGTTGAGACTGAGTCCTGTGCTCATCTCCACCTAGTTAAAGTGAACTACCCTATCTGGGTCCCATGAATGGGGTCAGCACTCCAAAACATGGACTGAGATGGGCAGAAGGCAAAGGCAGGTCCTTTTATCAGAAGAGTTGCTTGCAAAACCAGTGTCTCTTGCAGTCTCAGGGCACACAGTGACTTTTTTTCTCCCAGAGTCATCCACAATATAGTCCTACACTGGAAACAGTCTCATTTCAATTCCTATGGGTGCTGGGTATAGTGAGTGCCAAATCTGCCTCTGACTAGTAGAGACTATTAGGAAATAAGAAAGGGCCCATCATGAGCATGCTGGGATTTTTGTTTTCTTTTTTTTGAGACAGGCTTTTTTTTTTTTTTTTTTTTTTGGTATGGAGGAATTGAACTTACAACCTCGTGCTTACTAGACAGGCACTTATGCCACTGAGCTAAATCCCCAGTTGAGGCAGGGTCTTACTATAGAGTTCAGGCTGGTTTTGAACTCACTGTGTAGCCCAGGCTGGCCTTGGACTCACAGTGATCCTCTTGCCTCAATCTCCCAAATCCTGGGATTATAGGTGTGAGCTATCACACCCGGCCCAATGGTAGGATTTCTGCAGCTCAGATTAGACAGGGGCAAGGAACCAATATAGTGAAACATGTCAGAATCTCAGGATTTCTTCTAAGCCAGAACAGTGGGCAATTTCTAGCATGGGGATCCTTCCAATCTATTACTTTCCATCCTAGTCAAAAGACTCTGATCTAAGACTTTATAATTTTTTTTTTTTTTTCTGAGACAGAGTCTTGTTATGCAGTTCAGGCAGGGCTTGAGATCCCTTTGTAGCACGGGCTGGTCTCAAACTCATAATGATTCTCCAGCCTCAGCCTCCTGAGTGTGCCACCATGCCCGGCTGATCTACGATTTTGTTTGTTCATTTGGATTAGGGTTGCATGGAGCAGGCTAGGCTGAGAACCAGGACACCCAAAATAGGACAACCCTTATGCTGGTTGTGGTGATGGAAAACCTGCAGTTGTAGCACTTTGGGAGGCTGAGGCAAGAGGATTACAAATTTAATGAGACTCATTCTCAAAATTTAAAAAAATAAAGGGCTGGGGATGTAACTCAATATAAGGCCTTTGTTTGGTTCAATTCAATATCTAGTGAAGGGAAGGGAAAAGGAAAAGAAGAAACAGATGGGGAAAAAAGGAGTGAATCCTGTTTTATCTAATCATGATATCCAGGGACTACAGGCTGGCACCTCTCTAACCTCTCCCACATTCTCTCTTCCTACCTGTGGGAAAAGATGTGAGGAGCAGTGCCCATAGGGAATTGACTTAACTTGCATGTTTTTAAAATACTTTATTAAGAATAAGGCATATGACAGTCACCCCTAAAGCACAGGGCTCTATTTCTGTGGGTGAGTGAATATACTCTGAAAAGCATTGGATTAAAAAGCGCAGCCAACAGAGAATTTGGAGCAGGATCCCTCTGCCCTGCATGCTACCCTATCCGCGGCTGGCACATCAGTGAGAGGGTGCTCAGAGTTCCTGAGCTCCTAAGGTAAGGAGCTGTTACTCCTCATCCTCTGGCCTCCTTCCTCACCATCAGGGAGGACTCTTATCTTGCTGCGTATGTGCAAGAAAGGCTACCTCATTTTGGCCCCAGGCTGGTCCCCTGAAGTGCAGGTCATAGTGGAAGGGATACAGCAGAGAGGGAGCTGAAGCTTCCCGGTGCATGGCCCTCTGGTCACTAGCTGGCTTCCAGAGCGTATGGAGGCTCCATCCACAACTCTGTCTCCTGGGTCTGTCCATACCTGGGGTGTGGCAGGAGTCCCACAGGATTCTGCATATCCTATCACCTTTCCCTTCCATGGGAATGTGTGCAACAGAGAAAAATAGAGAAGAAAAACCTCTTTCCCTTCTCAGTCACCTGGACCCTCCAGGGATTGGGCTGGGTGCTGTCCTTTGCAGGTGGCTCCCCCAAGCCTGGCTTTGTAATGGTCAGGGCTGAAGCTGAGAGTAAGACTTCTCCCAGCCCCTGAGGCTGTGGTTTTGCCTGCCAGCAGGTGGAAAAAATCTCTAGTCCATTACTTCCAGGAGAAGCTGAGAGGGAACTTTTTTGTCTTTTTGAAATAGGTTTTGCTATGTAGTTCAGGCTGGTTTTGTGCTCACTTTGTAGCCCAGGTTGGCCTTGAACTCATGGCAAACCTCCTGCCTCAGCCTCCCAAGTGCTGGGATTACAGCTGTGTGCTACTACCCCTGGCTGGACTTTTCTAAAATTAGAACCCTGTATCTACCTAGGTCTCCCATCATCCCCATTGGTGGGAAAGAGTTCCTTACTTCCTTTTCCAGCCACCCCAACACTTAGAATCTTTCACCTGGGGGACTGTCAAGCACATCGCAAGCAAATCTCATCTCTGGTTGCTGTTAGAGGGACAAGATTTGGGAGATGCTGATGGGGCCACTAGAGGAGAGGCAGGCAGGCCACCACAGGATCCCAGGGACTGGGGTGTGGTGGGGCCTCTCCTTGTTGGTCACTCTGGGTACCCAGGAGGGGAAAGGGAAGAGAGCTATTGCTATAGAGCTTTGAGGGAGGCCAGGTGGGCATAGCTATGGCTTTTAGTGGGTGGGAATTATGGGTGGATAAAGGAGTTTACCATCTCTGTAGAAGAATCAACATAACAAAATCACCCTGTTTACCCCAAAAGTGTAGCTGTGGGGGATGAAAGTCTATGTGGGCTCCTCCAGCAAGAGTCCTTTCTCCTCCTTCCCATAGTCCCCCAAGAGTGGGGAGCAAGACTCCAACACAGCAGGCTGATAGGGAGGGTGGCAGCACAGAACATGAGTCACACACACAGGAGTGGAGACTGATGCCAGCATAGAGACTCAGGTTGGGGGCATGGGCAGAGGTGAAGGCAGACAGAGCAAGGTCTCCCAGCTCCACCTCCAATACCTCACCCCCAGAAGCAGGACCCCCAGCCCAGGGCTACTTAATGCTTGGTGAACTTAAGCAGTCCTGCATGGGAGAGAGCTGCATGTCCACTAGGCTTGTAGTGTGCTCAGTTTCCTGCTTTTTACTATATTCCTGCTCCCTGTAATGTAGCACAGAAGAGGACATGGACTGGGGATTAACTGCAGGGCACAGCAGGAAAAGTTCTTCATCCCTGGGCTGACTCTTCACCTCGCAGACTCCTGGTGACACAGAACGTGCACCTCTGCCAGGGTCAGGAACTGCCAGGGACCAGATGTCTGAGTGAGGGAAAGGTGTCCTCCCTGGGCACCTCCCGGAAGACCTCACAGGCACTTAAGACTCAATGAAGGGCCAACCCAGAAGGGGTGGCCTGGGGGCTTTGGGGACTGTGTTTCTAGGTTGAGCTTCGGTAGAGGCAATGAGCTGGACGGAAGCTGTACTTTTTGCCTTTGGTAGTGAGGAGAGCTGGGGAAAAAGGGAGTGTGCGTGTGTGTGGATGGGTATTTCTGCTTTCTGTTTGAGTATTTGCCGATCAACTGAGACGGGGAGCAGTAGAAGCACCCAGCCACTACCAGGTTTGGATAGACTTAGGGGCATCCCTGGAGGGGGACTAGGCTGGGGACTAACTTGTCTCCTGCCTTTTCTCTGCTCCTCAGCAAACCCAAATTTCTACCACTTCCAAGAAGCCAGGTCCTCCTTTCAGCCTTGGAGTGCAGCTAGCTGCTCAGGAAGCTGGGCAGGATTAGCACCAATAACCGGAGGAGGCAAACTCCCAGAGCAACATCCAGGAGGGGAAAGCCAGTGCCTGCCCTTCCACAAACCTCCCTCCCACCTCACTGCCCCAGGACAGCTTCTACCCTCTCAGCCTCAGTGTGGCAGGCCCTGGAGTTGAGATGGGGACAACTCTAGACCAGGTCAGGATCTGCCACCAAAACCTTTCTGTAACCCTAAGGGTCCAGAAGTTCAACTTCCATCAAGCCACACTTGCCCCACGAGGGACTCTGAGAGGATATGACCTCTAAGGTGTGTTCCGTGCACACCTGCAAGGATTTGGATGGGGGCGGGGATGGGAACAGCATTTCCAGAGTAAAGGACCAGCCTGAGCCCTGGCTCTTCCTGGGAGGAAGAAGGCTGGGCAGGGCCAGAGGAGGCAAGGCAGGGGAGCTAGAAGCTCAGGGGTGCCCACGGTGCTCTGCATTCCTTCCTGGAGCCAGCCTTTCTCCTACGTCCCAAAGGATTGTCAGCCTTACCGAGGCAGAACGTGACCCCGCTGCCCCTACCCAGTGGCCAGGTAGGGACCAGGTCAGGATCAGTACTGCCAGTACTACACAAAGGTGCAAATGCTCAGCCTTCTCAATAGAGGCGCTGCCTCGTGGGAAGGGAGAACTTGAAGCTTCAGAAACGTTTGGAAATACAAAAGGCGGAGGCGGCTCGAAAGGCGGGAGGGGGGTCCCCGGACTGGAAGTCTCAGTCCCCAGGACCCACCCGCAGGACGCCCGGAGCCCCACGCCTACTCCGGGTCACCGGGCGCATTGGGCAGACTGGGCGCGTCAGGCTGCGCGCTGCCCTGGTCCGGGGGCTCGTGGGGCGGCTGCTGTCGCAGGCCGTGGGCACCGGGCCGAGGGGGCCTTCGGGCGTAGAGGAAGAGCGCGGGGTCGGGCATGGGGTCAATGTCGTCCGGGCCGCCGGCGGCGCGGTCCCAGGAGGCCCAGTCCCGGTTGGGGCCCTTGGCGGCGGCCTCGGGCGGACGGCGGGCCCGCTGTGCGCGCCGGCGGGGCCGGGGCTCGGCGGTGGCGGCGGCGGCCGGGCGCGAGGCCTGCAGTCTCTGTCGCGCAGCGTGCAGCTGGCAGGACAGGTAGGCGGCCGCTTCCGTGTGCTTCTGTAGCTCGGTGCCCAGGACGGTGGCGCGGTGGCTGCGGCGCCGCAGCTCCTCCAGGAAGCGGCGCTCCTCGGAGCGCAGGCTGCAGCGCAGCGCAGACACCAGCGCCTCGCGCTGCGCCACCTCCCGGCGTAGCTCGGCGTTGGCCGCGGCCCGCGCCGCCAGCTGCGACTCCAGCGCGCGGCACTTGCTCTCCAGCTCCCGGGACGCCTCCTCTGAGAAGGGGAGAAAGGGGAGTGGTAAGGGCGCCTGCCTGGCTTGCAACACACCAGCCCCGCTCAGTGGCAGACACAACCGAACCCCGCCCCACCTCCACGGCCACGCATGCTGTCCCTCACTCCCACAGGTCAGCTGCAGGGTCCTTCTTTTCCTTCCCCGGGGCCTTTGCACCTATCTCACCCTCACCATGGCCTCCCCACCAAGTCTTCCGGTTCAGGTTAAATGGAAAATCCTTCCTGACTGCTTGCTTATTCAAGCCACAACTAATTTGCTGAGCCGTGTGTATGTGCACTGGGTTAGGCATTGGGGCAATGGTGGATCACAATGGTCCTCCCAAAGCTTACAGCGTGGTGGGAGTAGTAATTAATCATGAATGTGTAGTAAATAATCATGAATAAGTGTGAGGTTGGCACCATGACATGTGCTGAGAAGTAACAAATCAGTGCTTCCCCTGTAGGAGGAGGATGTGGTCTAATCAGGAAATTTTTTCGGGAAAGAGAGGCTTCCCTAAGAACAGGGCTGCAGACAGAGGGGGCAGCTTGGGCAAAAGTCCTGTTTCAGAAAGATAAGGCAAAAGCAAGGTACAAAAGTGTTAGCGTTGTGCAGAGAAAGGTGTGTGTGTGTGTGTGTGTGTGTGTGTGCCTATTTCCTTCACAGACCATTATATTTTTATAATATTTTGTAAATGTTTTTGTTTGCTTGTTTGCATTTGCCACTGCAGCAGGTCTCAACCTTGGAAACACGATGGAATTATGCAGAGAGCTTTTACAAGTACTGTTTCCTAGTTCCTACCAAGGACCACATGAGTCAGAATTCCAGGATGGACCTGGGAATGGTGCTGCTTAGATCTTCAGCCTGGGCTACATAGCGAGTTCAAGGCTGGCCTGCACTACAGAGTGAAATCCTGTCTTTTTTTAAAACAGAGGGGAAGGGGGGCTGGGGATTTAGCTCAGCGGCATAAGCGCCTGCCTTGCAAGCAGGCAGTCATGAGTTTGATCCCTGGTACCGATAAAAAGGAAAAAGACAAAAAACAAAAAAACAAAACAGAGGGGAAGGGGCTGGGGATACAGCTCAGGGCACAGTGCCTGCCTGGCAAGCACAAGGTGGTGAGTTTGATCTCTGGTATTCAGAAAAAAGAGAGGGAAGGAGAGAGAGGGACCGCAGGCCATATCCTCCTCATAGTTAGAGCACTGATTTGCTACTTCTCAGCACGTGTCATGGTACCAGTCTCACTCTTATTTATGATTATCTACTACATCTCTCCCACCATGCTATAAGCTTTCTGGGGACTATTTTATTATCCACCATAGCCCCGATGCCTAACCCAGTACACATACACAGGGCTCTGAAACCATCACCATCACCACCGCTCAGGATACCAGGGCAGCGTCTTGAGCCCAGGTGATGCCAGATACCCTTTCAGAGGAAGGGAAGTGGGGGTAAAAGCTGCTATTGTTACAGGACTGTTTTTACCTCATCTCATTCTCCAGCCTGGAGCATCAAGAGAATGTCTGCAGTTGCCAAATGAAGAAGTGGGTAGGATTGGTTCAGAAGTTCAGACCAACTCCAGCTGATCTCTACATGTACAGTGTAATCTATAAGATTCCTAGTGTTTTATTTATTTTTGAGGCAGGGTCTCCCCATGCAGTTCAGCCTGGTCTTAAACTCACTATGTTGCCCAGATTGGCCTTGACTCTGGGTCATTCTCCTGCCTCAGCCTTGGAGGGCTGGGATTACAGGTGAGTTCCATCAGGGCCCGCCTCCTAATGTTTTAGCTTAAATTTTTAATCCTCCCCAACCCTAATTCTTTGTCATGTGGATTTTGAGCTATAGGCAACACATCAGTACAACAGGAAATCCACTCTTCAGAATTTTCCTGGCCAGGCATGTTTTATACTCCTATAGTCTCAGTACTTGGGAGGCCGAGGCAGGAGGATTCTGAGTTTAAGGCTAGTCTGGACTACATTACAAGACGGATTCTCATTCTGTTTTTCTTTTGGGGGGGTACTAGGGGTCAGATTCATGACCTTGCACTTACCAGGCAAGCCACTGAGCTAAATCTCCAGCCCCTATTTTTAAAACAAGGTCTTATTATGTAGTCCAAACTGTCCTTGAGATCCTGTCTTAAAACAACCCCCCCCAATCTCTCCTGGCCCCAAAGTGTCTATTTTTATGACTTGTGTGTGTGTGTGTATATGGGGTGAGGGGTGCTGGGGACTGAACCCAGGGCCATGTGTGTACTAGGAAAGTGTTCTTTTTTTTAGTACCGGGGATCAAACTTATGACCTTGCACTTCCCAGGCAGATGCTTACACCACTGAGCTAAATCCCTGCCCCCACCTTTTTGTACTGGAAATTGAACTCAGAACCTCATGCTTGCCAGGCAGGATTAGAGTTAGATATCCCCGGCCCAGGCAAGTGTTTCATCACTGAGTTGTATGCTAGCCTTTTATGATTTATTTTAGCTAAACAGTTACAGTCCCTTCAAGCCAGGTAATGTGCTTTGCACTTCACAATGGTTAGCACCCAGCTCTGGTTCTCAAATTCCTACAATTTAGTGATTATGATCTGAATAAAACAATCTGCTCCCTGCCACGTTTAACAATTTTCTTTACTTATTTGGCTTTTTGAAACAGAGTCTTGCTATGTAGTTCAGGCTGGCCTGACCTACTATATATGTATCCCAGGCAGACCTTGAATTCATGGTGATCCTCCTACATGTGGGTGCCACCATGCCCAGCCCTGCCACATTTTAAAAATATTTCCATTGTTGTTTAAAAAAAAAGCACTACTTTACAGTACAGTACATTCATAGTACAGTACATTCATATTATTGTGTTAACAGATTTCCAAAAAATTTTTGTGAAAAAACAGTATCTCTAGGCAATAATGGAAATGTATTAAAAACAGTGTTGACAACAGAAAAAGACAAGGTCTTGCTATGCTGCCCAGGTTGACCTCTAACTCCTGGGCTCAAGTGAGCCTCCTGCCTCAGCTTCCTGAGTGACTACTCTGAGACACACCCTGCCACAGATCTCTAGAACTTTTTAATCTTGCAAAACTGAAACTCTAGACTCTCTGTATATCATCTTCCCACCCTCACCCTTCTATTAAGAGAGAAGAAATATTCTATGAACAAATGTTTTAGAGGAATTGCCACAATGGCACAAGTCATGCTTTAGTAAAAGGAAAGATTTGCTAATGTGTCTTTGTTCTTCTCATCTAGACTAAAGCCCAGGACCCTGTTCTACCACTGTGTCACGTCTTGACACTCAGTACCTTGCAGAGTGTGGACACTGAACATGAGTTCACTTGTACAGGGTTTTGAAGGACTGGGAGGTGAGTCTCAGAAAGCAATGAAGAGGGCAAGGAGGAAAGAGAACCCGAGTAATCTCTTTTCTTTTTCCCACTTTGGACAGAGACACAGACAGCACAGGGGACTGTGTGCACTGGTATAAGTTGTTTCCTGTACAAGTTACCAAGCCAAATGGGCAAGTCAGACTGACATCTATCTGCACCCTGGTCAGCAGGTGCTGTCCCTGGGTCTAAGCTGGGGACAGAGATGGCATGAGCCCTACTAAGAGTTGGGAAATTCGCCTATTGGTCCTTTTCTTACCTTGCTGGTGAGACTGGGCCTCTCTCATCTCCAGGTCATGGGTCAGTTCTGGGGCAGAGAAAAGGCAGGTGTGTGTGTCACAGGTCACTAACAGTGGCAATAAAAATCCTTAGAAATGAATTAAACCACCCCCTCTATACCAATTTCCTGCCCAGAGCCCCAGTGGCCTCTTGCCAAGTTCAGAGATTAGTTCACTACAAGGGTCTGTCTGGATTTGGGGATAAGTTCAGCCCTCGTGGGACAGAAGAGCCTAGCTTGTCTGGGAGCTGGGAGAGTATGCGCCCCTTCCTAGCACTGATATAGCAGCAAACAGCAATTGTGGGGGACCCTAGCTACACAATTACTGGTCAGACGCTAGCGTGTGGAAGGCCTCTTTAAGGTCACTGGAAATGGGCGGTGGGCTATTTACCAAATTGGACATATGTGTTCACTCGATTAGCAGCCAGTACAGCTAGCTGCACCCGCCTCCGTTATTGTCTGTAGAATGGCACTGCTCCTTCCCGCACCCTGTTCCACCGAGTCTACCGGGCAGAGTGGGCTTTGAGGCAGACAGCGCCACCTTGTGACGGTAGCTGCCTGGAGGCTTGGCCCTGAGCGGCAGGGGAGGGCGGGGCGCCGCGAGCCAGCGGCTTGCAGAGTGAGCCAAAGTCCCGGCGCAGCATTTCCCTCCTCGTTCTTTTTGTTTTTTTCCTGGCAGTGGAGATCAAACCCGGGGAGTGCTGAGCTACATTCTCAGCCCTTTTATTTTCAGACAGACTTCCACTAAGTTGCCCAGGATTTGAGATCCTTCTGCTTCAGCCTCCTGGGTAGCTGGGATTACGGGTTTAGGCCACCATGCTCAGCCCAGTCCTTATTCGTTAATTTCTCAAATGCTTCATCTTAGCCTAGCTTAGCTTGATTTTTTTTTTTTTTTTTTTTTTTTTGTATCAGGGATTGAACTCACAACCTTGCACTTGCCAGGCAGGCACTTATGCCACTGGGCTAAATCCCCAGCCCAGAGCTTGATCTGTGTTTTGAGACAGTGTCACTAAGTAGCTCAGGCTAGTCTTGAACTCAGTATGCAGCTCAGGCTGGCCTCAGATTCCCGCTAATCCTCCTGCCTCAGCCTCCCAAGTGCTGGGATTACAAGTGTGATACAGGTGTATGCTCAACTGAGCTTGATCATTCTTATATCTGCTGTCCCCCAACTCCACTAGACCTCAAGAACTGGCAAAAAAGGTGGAGAAGTATAGCTCGGTGGGACAGTGTGTGCTTGGCCTACTCCCAAGCTCTGCTTCAATAAGCTACAGTGATCTGTAGGAGCGCCTGCATGTACCTTTAGGAACACAGGCTGGGGTCACGGAGAGCAGGTGTGCATCAAGAGACCAGGAAGGCAGTACGTCAGCGGGGCTACTCACCACCCAGCAGCACCTACAGCGATGGCCTGTGGCCCCAGGCCTGCACCTCTTCCCTGCCTTCATGGAGCTCTTCTGGAGACAGGGCCTGTGCACAGGTACCTCCTCTGGGGAAGCCACTTGTTACCAGGAGACAGGGAGCCTAGGCTGTGACTCCAGTCTCACCCCCTCCTGGGGCACCCTGTGCAGAGCTGATGTCTCCACTCCTTGAGCTCCCTGGGGCCAGCGCAGCCCCTCCTCCAGCCCTTGCAGTGTGACCCAAGAGACCCTGGACGAGGTCAGGGGACTGTGCCCAAGAGATCTTGGCTCTACCACTGACTCCCTGTGGGCTGGTTTCTCCTCATCCCTTAATCACGGGACTAGGACGTGGGGAGAGAGAATCCAGCTGGGCTCCCCACCTTCTGGTCAGAATCTTGATGGTTTAGATGAATATGCTGTGATGTCAGATACACTGTGACCCTGAATCATTAACAGTATCTGTCTGAGCCTCAGTTTTCTCATCTGGAAGATGGGAACAAAATAGCACACACATGCACACACCCACCCAAAGAAAGCACTGCTGCCAGGAGGAAATGAGAAAAAATAAACAGAAGGCTTGGTCCAGGATGAAACTAGTGCACAGTGCATGGGGTTGGAGGTAGAGACAGTTTGTCGTCATCTAGGCTGCTGAGCCAACCCTGAACATACTTCCTACTTCCCAAGCCCCTTCATTCCAAGTCCTCAACTATGGTTGACTAGCTTTCCAGCAGTCTGTCCTCCTGGCCCATCCTATCCCCTTCCTAGCCTTTGGCTTTTTTTTTTTTGACAGAATCTTGCTGTGTTTCAGGCCTATGTTTCAGGCTTGCTTTGAATTTGCAATCCTCCTGCTCAGCCTCCCAGAGTTCTGGGGTTACAAATGTGAACCACCATGAACCTCTGCCCTAGACTGAGGGCTTCAGTCATTTCAGTCCCCACAGTGGTTGTTCTAATCCACCTGAGTTATTTCATCGCCTTAATCAATAACCAAGAAGCTGCAGGCCCTTGCCGGTCTGAAAAGGGTAAGTGTGTGTGTGTGTGTGTGTGTGTGTGTGTGTGTGTGTGTGTGTGAAGGGTCCTCTGTTGCTACCTGTGACCCTCTCTTGGTTCTGGCTCTTCTCTGTAGTGGAGGGACTGAAGTCCTCAGCATGAGGCCAGGGAGGAGAAATGAGAGGATCCCCTACAGGTCTTAGCATTCCCTATTTTCCTCTAAGGCTGTTTTGCAGTGCTAAGGTGGCATGGGACAGAGATGACATGTGCCCCCTGGGCTTGCCTGTGGTGCTGGGCTATCTTTGGGGGAGACCACTCATGTCTTGTGCTGCAGCATGAGAAGCCAGGTGGTCACTCAACTCTCTAGCCCTCAGCTTCCCTATGGCAGTGGGGAGCCTCCCTAAAGCAGGGGCTAGAGGGAGATAAGAGGTCTAGCTAGGAGGTAGGAGACAATCCACAAAGCTGCAGAGATATGTAGGACTGGGGGTTTGAAGCTCTGGGTTCTAATGTGGCTTCTGCTATTAGCATACTGTATGATGTACTTTCTCTGGGACTCAGTTTACCCATTTGTGCAAATGAATCCTTCCAGCTGACACATTCTAGGAGCCACTGGCTCTACAATCTGTGCTGGAGACTCAGCCAGCTGCATATCTGGGTCACAGCCAAGGCCCTGAGAAGATCAGACAGTTGAGGCTATGGGTCTAAGAGCAAGGGCTGGATCTAGGAATTCACCTCATCCTTTGGGTCCCTGTGCTGCTCACAGAGCAATCAGTGGGCAAGCCCTTCCCTGGCTCTCCCCTATCCATGCCTCTTCGTCTCATTCCTGGACCCTTTCGGCAGGTTTGCTGTAGGCCTCCCAGCCTCCCTCTCCCACAGTTCACCTTCCACACAATTGCCAGGCTCTATTTTTCTTCTTATTGCAGTCCTGGGGATTGAACGTGGGGGCTTGGACATGCTAGGCAAGCACTCTACCACCGAAGCACAGCCTCAGCTCTTTGTGTTTATTTCTACAATTCTGGTCCTTTTTTTTTTTTTTGAGGCAGGGTCTAGCTGGGTCACTAAACTACTCATGCTGGGCTTCAAGCTCGAAATCTTCTTGCCCCAGTTTCTTTCTTTTTTTTTTTTTCTTTTTCTTTTTTACTGGTACCGGGGATCGAACTCATGACCACACACTTGCAAGGCAGGTGCTTATGCCACTGAGCTAAATTCCCAGCCCCTGCTCCAGTTTCTTGAGCAGCTGAGATTACAGGTGTGCACCTGCTGTATCTTAAGAGCACCTGTTAGGTATGTGTGTGTCCTCAGCTGGACCTAGGGATTTTTGAGGGCTGGGGGACACTCAGTGAACAGTGACCTAAGACAGGAGGCCATGGCAGGATCACAAGTTTGAGCCCTGCATAAGCAACTTAGTGAGATCCTAAAACAAACAAATCCTGTAGCTTGGTGCAAAGCCTTCAAGTTCAATTTCCAGTACTAGGAAAAACAAAAAGAACCCTACCCAGGTTCCCTAGGAACTGGTTCTGGGCTCCCTGATGTGCTACCTCAGTCCCAGATCCCTTTCCCAGCTCCCCGACTCTCTGTTTCCTCATTCAGAAAAAGTGGCGGCAGGACTGCTATGTGGCTTCCCTCTGAAATCAGTGAGCATGGATGACAGGGACCTGCTCCCCCCCGCCTGCCCCTGGCCTCACCTGAGCAGCGCTTCTGCAGCCTCAGGATTTCCAGGTGCAGGTCTCGCAGCAGGGCCATCTGCTCCTTCTTCAGAAAGCTGATGTGGCGTTGCACGCTCTGGATCTGATGCTCCAGGGACGTGGTATCCATGGCAGCCCAGGCCTGGACCCCACCTGGGGAGGACCACAAGGTGAACCCACATCTTCAGAGCCTATCTGCTCTGTCCACCCCTCACCCCCAGGGGCCTTGTGCTTTGTCCTTTCTTCCACTCTGGGGGACTGGGTACTCTTGCCACTATGTGGACAGTTCTGCCACCAATGTCACTGACATTTCCCTCCTGCTGCTCACTCCAGCTTCATGAACAAGTAGTGTGCTGATAGGGACTATCCACATTCCACAGATGGAGGTGAAGATTGGCTCTCCTGCTCCCAGGTGACTCCCTCCTCTTCTTCTCAGACAGGAAGGCACATGGAGTCAGCAAAGAGAGACAGAGGATCTGGGGTCTAGCCTGCCCCGCCCCCCCGCTGCTTTTTTTTAAGACAGGGTCTCACTATGTGGTTCAGGCTGGTCTTAAATTTACAGTGTAGTTCAGGTTGGCCTCAGACTTGGAGTGATGCCCTTGACTCAAGCTCCTGAGTGCTGGGATTACAGGGGTGCGCTACCAGACCCGGCTTCCTGCCTCTTTTCCAGCTGTGTGGCTTGGGGCCAGTTCTCTCCTTCCCTTGGGTGTTTTTCCATGGGAAAAATGAGGGCGCTGTACAGTGATAAGCCCTGCATCTTCCAGTTCTGATGTCTCGCCAGCATCTCGGCTCCAGGGTGACCATCAGTGGTGGGGACACACAGTCTCAGCACAGCCCTTCCCAGTTCAGGTCCATCTTTCTCACTTGCCCTAGAGTTATAGGGTCATCCAAATCATGGAGGAGGAAAAAAATTTTTTTTGGTACTATATTTTTCAGGTCCTTGCACTTGCTGGCAGCTTTTCTAGGCTGCTGAGCTATAACCCCAGCCCTTGGAGAAGAAAAATTTGAGGAGCATTTGGTTAACCCTGTCATTGTGAGCTGAAGGCAGGTAGGTGGTGAAGAGTGTCCCGATACTAGGCACTGAACCTAGGGCTCTGCATTGAGCTACAGCTCCAGTCCTTTTTATTTTTATTTTGAGGCAGAGTATTACTAAACTTGTGATCCTCCTGCCTCATGTTCCTGGAGTGTTGGGAATACAGGTGTGCACCACCGTGGAGACCTTTTTAAAAGAAGAATGGGCAATCAGGCATGTCCCCAGTGACTCTTGTGGTGGGAATGTAAGCCACTGTGACCCTAATGACACCCAGACTTTCCAGGCCTCCCTCTGGCTCTGCTCTCTTCAGTGACTCACTTCTATGGTACTCGGCAGAAGGCAAGCACATGAGGCCCAGGGACTCCCTAAGTTTGGAAGGACCTGCCTCCAACTCCCTGAGGAATTGCCTTGGCAGTGAGAGAGAAGCCAGTGAGATGCACAGCTGTGGCTGGGAACCAACAGGCTTCCTCCTGAGACTGACATTCTTAAGGTCGGGTAGGGTAGGGTCGGGCCAAGCAGGTTGACCTGAGGCATTGTATTCAGAGGTGCCTCTCTCTGGGCTCCCTCCTTGGGGACTCCTCTGACCCCACTAATCCAGCCAAGGAGCCCTTTCATTTTGGCAGAGAGTGGCTCTTTGGCTCTCAGGGATACTGCACATTATGTGACCCTCTGCTGTGTTCAGGGAACTTTACATACATTCTCTCACCTCGGCTGACCACCTCCACTTCAAACAGGAACTGGCCCCAGAGCTGGTGCCACACCAGCTCCCTGGCTCCGTGAATAACTGGTGGGAGACCCAATTCTCCAAGTCTTTTGCATTTCTATTTTTTCCTTTCTTCCTTCATTTTCTCTATTTACAGTGGTGCTTCAGTTTGTGAACTTAGCTTGTTTTATGATTTAGGGGAAGATGGCCAGGTTTGTATTTGTATGAGGAAGATGGCCACAGTCCTGTTTGCTACCTGATGCAGAGTGAGGCAAACAGAAGCAAAATGCTGTCCAAAGCTTCTGTTTGTGAACCAAATTGTTGGCAAGCAGAAGTGTTTGTGAACTGAGAGGTTACTGTGTTTGTTTGTTGGGGATCAACCCAGGGCCTTCATGGTTTTTCTTTTTTAATTTTTTTTTTTTTTTTTGGTCTTTTCCCTTTTTATTGGTACTGGGGATCAAACTCACGACTGCCTGCTTGCAAGGCAGGCGCTTATGCCGCTGAGCTAAATCCCCAGCCCCGGTTTTTCTTTTTTAGCAGAGCATGGTGGCACATGCCTGTCATCTCAATACTTGGGAGGCTGAGGCAGAAAGATTGCTGAGTTTGAGGCCATCCTGGGCTATATAGTGAATTCAAGCTCAGCCTGAACTACCTAACAAGAACTGTCTCAAAAGAAAAAAACCTTTTTTAAAAATTTTAAGACAGGGTCTCTCTGAGTTACTAAATCGCCTAGGGTGGGCTTGTAGGATTTCAGGCACATGCCACCACACTTGGTTTAGACTTTTTTTGGAGGGGGGAGAGGAGTTATTTTGTTTTTTAGGCTAGCCTCAAACTCATAACCTCAAGAGATCCTCCCTTCTCCGCCTCCCAGATACCCAGAACGACAGACCTGTGCCACTGCACCCAGCAGGCAACTGAATCTCTGACTGCAAAGAAGTTCCTCAGAACTGACTGTGGGAATGGTCCTGGCCTGGAGCTGAGTCTTGGTTCTTGCAGTTCTCTGCTGTGTCTCTGTGGGAGTGAAAGTATCCTGTGGGGCCTCTCCAACCTTTGCTGGTATAGGCGGGGCCAAGAATAGAACCATCCTAGGATGGCTGTGAGAATTAAACAAGATAGGAAATACTGCGGAAAGCACTCGGTCAGGGCTGGCTCAATCAGTGCGGCCTGCATCACTTCTTCCTTCTCTTTTCTGCCCACTCCCTGTGTGAGCAGGTAATTCTGTCCTTACTTGCCTAGTTTTCCATTTATTCATTCTACTGTTGCCAAGCCCTTGCTCAGTGTGCAGGATGCAGGGATACAATAACAAGTACCTGCTTTCAGGGAGTTCACAGTGCAAAGGGAGAGAGACAAAAGGAGAATGTGTCTAATGACCCAACAACAGGCCAAAGAGGCATATAATTACTATCTGTGAGAAATGCCATAATAAAGAAACTTATACAGTCAGGTGTGGTGGTGCCACCTGGAATCTTAGCACTTGGGAGTCTGAGGTAGAAGGATCACAAACTTAGGGAAAAAAAAAAAATGCCCCAAGTACACACACTACAGTATGGAAGAATATAAAACCAACCTGTTTCACTTTTTTTTTTTTAACCTTCTTTTTGTTTTTTTCTCAGACAGGGTCTCACCATGTAGTTTATGTTGGCCTTGAACTTCCTGTGTAGTACAGGCAGGCCTTGAATTTATAGTGATCCTCCTGCCTCAGCCTACTGACTGCTGGGATTATGGATATACACCACCACACCCAGCATCCTGTTTTATTGTAAAAAATATTCTTCTATGGCACTGGGAGTCAAACTCAGGGCCTGTTACGTGCTAGGCAAGTGTTATACCCATACCCCTAGCTCATGGGATTTACTTTACATTTGGGATCGGGGAAGATCTTTTTCTTTGTCTTTTTGAGACAGGGTCTCACGGTGCAGTTCAGCCTGACTCTGGGCTCACTTTGTTGCCCAGACTGGTCTCAAATTTGCAATGATCCTCCTGTCTCAGCCTCCTGAGTGCTGGGATTATACATGTACACCATCACCCTCAGCTAGGAAGTGACTTTTAGGTTGAGATTCTGTGGCAGGCAGAATCCTAAAATGTTGTCCAAATTTCCCAACCTGAAGTACACTCACCCTCAGGTGTTATCTCTTCCTCTTGAGTGTGAGAAACACTATGCATCTGATGAATTTCCCTCCAGTGACAAGGTCACATGCCAAGGGGAAAGGGGTTTGCAGATGTAATCCAGATCTCTAATGAGATGACTTTGAGTTAATCAAAAGGAAGACATGCTAGATGGGTCAGATCTAATCAGATAAATGTTCAGAGGAACTCAGAGTAGAGGATTCTGCTAAAATGTGTCAGACTCCTGACTTTTAAGAAGTGAGATAATAAGTTTATGTGGCTTTTGTTTTATCTTGTTTGTCGGGCTGGAGTCTAAGGCATGCAATTACAGCACTTGGGAACCTTTCTCAACAAAACAAAACAAAACAAAACCAAGCCTAGGGTATGCTAGGCAAGCACTGTGCCACGGAGCTATGCCCCCAGCCCTAAATTTATGTTGTTTTAACCCAGTACATTTGTGATGATTTGTTTTAGAGCGCAGACCAGATGACGTAGAGATGTCTAGAATCCCAGCACCTCAGCAGGCTGAGAGAGGAGAACTGCAAGTTTGAGGCCAGCCTAGACAACTTAGTGAGAAGCTGTCTCAAAATAAAAACAAAGGGCTGAGGACGTAGCCGAGTGATACAGCACCTTTCAGTTCAGTCCTCTCAATTACAAAAACAAAACACAAGAACAGGTTAGCAGGAGAGCGGGAGTCAGAAAGACAACTCTAACATGGAAGAGCCTCTGTGAAGGCAAAGTGATCATAACAGCAGCTTACATTTATTAAACACCTGCTGCATGCTGAACTTTTTTCCCCTTCTTTTGAGACAGGGTCTCGATATGTAGTTCAGGGTGGTCTTGATCTCACTATGTAGCCCCAGCTGGCCTCAAACTCACAGAAATCCTTCTGAGTGCGGAGATTACAGGCATGCAGCACCATCCCCGGCCCTGCATGCTGAATTTTGAGCTAAGGGCTTCACATGTCTGTTTGAAGAACTGAGACCCTGCTGTCCTAGTAGGAGCTGAAGTGCAAGGCCTTGGGGGTGGGTCACAGGAAGTCATGTTAGGAATTTTTGGTCAACATTAGATGACTCTGAACTGGAGATGTGGCTCTGTGGTAGACTGCTTGAAGCCCAAGGCTCTGTGATTTTATTGCCAGCAATGCAAAAAGAGTACTAAGTGACTTTGGAGGTTAATAAGGGATTTTTTTTTTCTTACTGGGGATCAAACTCACGAACCCATGTTTACCAGGCAAGCACTTGTGCCACTGAGCTAAATCCCTGGCCCTATTTAGGGATTTTAAACAGAGGAGGTACATGACATGGTTTGTCTCTCATATAGTTCAGGCTGGCCTTGAACTCGTGGTGATCCTCTAGCCTCACGCTCCCAAGTACTGAGATTACAGATGTGTGCCACCTGCATGATTTGTGGGTTGGTGTTTTGTTTTGTTTGTTGGTGTGAGTGTGTGTTGATGGGGGTTGAACCCAGGGACTTGTACATGCTAGATAAATACTTTACCACGGAGCAACATTTCCTAGCCCCGTTTCCCCTTCTGAAACATGGTTTTGCTAAATTGCCCAGGTTAGCCTCAAACTTGTGATCTTCCTGCCTCAACCTCCCAGGTAGCTGGGGTTACAGGTATGCACAACCACACTTGGCTCTGATTTATTTTGTTTCTTTTTTATTTTATTTTTTGGTACTGGGGATCAAACTCAGGACCTTGTGCTTGCCAGGCAGGCGCTTTGCTAAATCCCTGGCCTTTTTTTGTCCTTTTAAGACAGGGTCTCACTGTGTACTTCAGGCTGGCCTTGAGCTCACTTTGTAGCACAGGCTGGTCTCAAACTTGCAACAATCCTCTTGCCTCAGCTTCCCAAGTGCTGTGATTACAGTCATGCACCACCATGCCTGGCTTGGCTGGCTTGCTTACTTTCTTTTCTCTTTCTTTCTTTCTTTCTTTCTTTCTTTCTTTCTTTCTTTCTTTCTTTCTTTCTTTCTTCAGAGCTGGGCATGGTGGTACATGTTTGTAATCCTAGCACACTGGGAGACTGAGGCAGGAGAATCACAAGTTTGAGCCAAACCTGGAATCGACTTAGCCCAGTCCAAAAATCAAATAACAGAATAAAATGATCTGGTAATGTAGTTCAGTGTTAAGGCCCTGAGTTCAATCTCCAGTATTTTTTTTTAAAAAAAACAAAACTATGTATAGTATTTTTGTTTTGTTTTTTGGTACTGGGGATCGAACTCATGACCTCACGCTTGCCAGGCAGGCACTTGTGCGGCTAAGCTAAACTCCCAGCCCTAAAACTGTACATACTGGCTGGTTCCTTTCTCACTGTGTCAGCTTTCACATTGGCCCGCTTCCTTATCCATAATCACTCCCAGGGTGACCTTGTCCAGGGCCAGGGCTCGGAATACTATTTATCCATTGCTGACCCCTAAAGTCACTTTTCCCTAAAAGCTACACTGGCTACCTAGCTCTTCCATTAGGATGTCCATCAAGTCCCTCACACTTCCAAGACCCAACACCAAACTCCTGCACTCTCTCCTACAATCCTGCTCTTGCCACCATTTGCCATCTTGATAAACAGCTGTTATTTAAATATTCACTCAGTTGCTTGGAAGTGACCTTTGATTCCTCTTTTTCTTTATATTCTGCAATGAATCCATCTGAAAATCTTGTTTGCTCTGCTTAAAAAAAAAAAAAACAACCCATCCAAACACTTCTCATTATCACTTTAGTCCAAGCCACCAAACTCTGGTATATGACTGCAGTAGTTACCTCCCTGGCGTTCCTGTAGGAACATAGGTCTCATCACGCATCTTCACCTCTCTAATGGCTTCCCACACCACTTAGAACAGACCCCAAGTTCCTATCATACCCTGTGCCATCCGCCCCTGGTTCTCCTTCTCTCATCTCTTCTCTCCACTGCTGGCTCCACTCAGCTTCTGGGCTCCTTGCTGTTCCTGAATGTGGCAAGCACTCTAGCCTCAGTGACTGTGGCTGTGCTGGCCTCTCTGCCTGGGATGGACGTTACCAAGACTGCCTATGACCCATTCCTTTCCTTCCTTCAGGGCTTTATTTAAATGCCATCTTCTTGGGGCCCTTCCCCAATCACTCAGTCTAAAAAGAATCTTCCGTCATTCTTTACTCCCTTATTCTGAATTATTTTTCTTTCATGAACTTATTACTACATGAGCAGAGTGAATATTTTGTTTACTCTTTGCTTTCCCTGCCAGATCATTAGCAATAGAAGATGAAGGACTTTTATGTCCCCCCTGCCTCATTCCCAAGCACGTACCATGGTATCTGGAAAATCAAAAGTACTCAGTGAGTACTGCAGACCACAAAGTGAATGAATTTATGGGTATGAGTAGACAGACATATTTACAGACAAGCTGAGATCAAGACAGACATATGTTAGGTAGGTCCTTTCCAAATGACCTCAAACAAGGAGAAACAGATGTCAAGCTGACCAGCAAATATAGTGGGGCATCACGTAGATGAGCTATATGTCTGAGTCAGGATGTGTGAACCTGTGTGTCTGTGCCTGCACCAGAACCTGGGTGTGTGCCTCGAGGAGTGTGTGTGTGGTGCTGGGGATCTAAGCCAGAGCCTCGTGCATGCCAGACAAGTAGTCTGCCAGTGAGTCGCATTCCCAGGCCATGTGTGTGTTTCTTGATTGTCTCGGATCTGTGAGTGCTGTGTGTACAACTGGAGGATGAAGATGTATGAGCCGGGCCTGTGCTGGGCTGAAGTGAGACCATGTCTTCTCCCAGACACCGGGATGCCAGTGATTCTGAAGGGCAAAAGCCCTTCCTTCTCACACAGCCCCAGAGACTGGACCCTGGCCATGCTGAGAGCTGAGCCAACCAGCTGTTTCGTGCTTCCCAGAAAGATTTGAGCATTTGCTTCCAACTAAGCAGGCTGCTCTTGTCAGGGCAGAAATTTGGGTCACTAATGATCTTGGCAAACAGTCTTTCTTAGATGTCATTTTGTAGTTTGTCTGGGGGAGTGTGGGACATGCAGTGGGGAAGGGGGAACTGAGGACGGCACAAATCTTCATGTGGTTGAGGAGCCCCAAGCCCATCAGAAGGCCGGAGCCAGGAAAATGTCAGGTTTTCACAGCAGATACGCAGTGCTGGCACCACTGGGCTTCAGAAGCTGGTGCCTGAGACATGGCCCAGGCCAGCTGCTGCAGCTGAAGAGTGAGCGCTGTCTGCTCCATCTTCCTGTACCCCAGCAGGAAGAGGCCCTCACCTCTGTCTGCAGCCCCAAGGGTCCTGACGACCTCAGTGCCTGCTTTGCCTGTGCTGCGTCCTTCTTTTGCTACTTCCAGTTCTTTTTCATGTTAATTTTCTACCTGGATTGTTTTAAAAATCATTTTTTAAGCATCACCAAGAATAAAGCAGGACCTGTGATACGGAGTCCACAATTTACAGTTAATTCCAAATGCTTCTGACACATCTCTCCTGTGTCTGAAAATACAAATAATTTCTCATTAGGGGAGCTGGTGTTTAGAAGCCTTCCCTGTTCAAGTCATTAACCCTGGGCAAAGGGTCAGGTTCAGGGACTTGCTGATCCTGGCACAATTTTGATTCGCAGAGGCCTGGGCTCCTGATCCCGAGAATAACCTGGCCTCCTGCTTGCCTTTGGAGTATCTGCGACCCACCTTCCTTCCTGACTTGGGGAGGGGGAAATTTAGCTCTCATTTCCTCTTTATTCTTCCAGCTCTTTGGGCTGAAAGACCCACATAAGGTATAGAATCATAGCACTCAGAGCCTGGAGGACTTCCACAGTCCTCTCCGACAGCGTTTCTCAAATTGTGCTACACAGAATTAGAGGATTCTGCAGAGGGTACCTCAGATGCTGCCCAAAGGACTGGGGGCAAAGTGCTGAGCCCAGAAGCTTTGCTTCTTAATCTTCTTTTATATGAAGAGCAATACAAATTCTTTAAAGAAAAGGCCTCTGTAACCAAAAATTGGAAAACCACTTCTTCTTCTTCTTGTTGTTATTTTGCCATGCTAAGAATTGAACCCATGGTCTCACATAAACCAGGCAAGCATTCAATCACTGATATATAAACCCTCAGCCCCTTGAAAACCACTTTTACAGTATAATCTTTCCTTAGACATCTAATTCCATCTCCCTCAAACTCTGTGATCTGCTCGTTGTCCACCTGGCCTCTTCGGGTCCCCTCTCTGCTCTGCCCCAGGCTTCTTGTGCTCCACTTGTGTAGAGTTTTCACCGTACATCATCCCTCACTCCCTGACTAGTTTCAATTGTCTCAGTCTCAATTTCACTCAGGGTTTGTCTTCTCTTTGGGACCAAGACTATTTATTGAGCCAATAAATATCTCTATATTATAAGCAGTGCATATATTGTGTTAAAGTTTTTCTATTTTTTCCTTATATTTTATTTGTTGAAGTTCCTTAAGGATATATGCTTCTTGTTTCAAGGAGAATGTTAAATTTACTATTTTTAAATCATTTTTGAAATTTTATTATTCTTGTAGCCAGGGAAGATATAGCTGGGGCAAACATAATAGATGAGTAAATAAATCATCAATATGTTCTTTATTTTTCTTAGTCATTATTCCACTTCATTACCTGACTCAGAGTCCCAGGGCCAGGAGAAGGGCAGGAACTGAGAAGCCTTTCTGGGACATGGTGCTGATGCACAGGCAGTAATACTATTACTAACACTAACACTAACACTAACACTAACACTAACACTAACACTAACACTAGTAAAGCATCAGCACTGTTCTTAGCATTTTACTCATATCAAATTATTTGTCACTGCAGGTTGTGTTAGTATATTCACTTCAGATGAGGAAACAGGTTCAGAGAAGAAAAGTAGTTTGATTTTGTGTAATTACAGTGCCTGGCACCTAGAAGGACCCCACTGGGAATTCATCCTGAAATTTATGACCCCTCACAACAAAGCAAACACAGTCCATCCTTGCAAGCTGATCTGTTTCATATTCTACTTCTTGTTCTCCTGGCAAACAAGCAGGAAAAACTCTCTCCCTGCTCTGTGTTCCCCAATCTGTCAGATCTAGGTGGTAGCTAGTACCACATTCTAGTATATATCACTCTCCATTGTGTGTGTGTGTGTGTGTGTGTGTGTGTGTGTGTGTGTCTGTCTGTCTGTCGCACTCTTAGCTTCTGTTCTAAACTGCAAGCTTCTCTAAGGCAGAGCTTTGTCTCTGAAATCCCTTGCAAGGATCAGGCACACAAGGAACGTCAGTGAAAAACGGAGAATGAGTTAAATCTTACTGGGAATCACCAGAACAAGTAAGTACACGTATTAAAAAATAATTACCCTTCTCCCCTGCAAGTCCTTGGCTCTCCCGGGCATTTAAGTCCGCACAAGAATCTAGCCTTTGACAAATGTCTGGGATGCTGCCTGCAAGGTGGGGCCACTTGTCCAGTGGTAGAGCAACATTCTCCAGGGACATTGTGGTCCTCTCCATTTCAGGGCCACTCCTCCCCCAGACGTTCAACTCCGATTCCCCCCTCACTGCCCATCCCAGCACCCCTAACCTCAGCAAAACTGAGGATTCGGGCTCAAGGAGTTGAGTGGGGTATATGGGGAAACGGGGAGCCCTTCACCCCCTAAGTGTGCCTCAAATACGACTCCCGGGGAAGATGGGGTGGAATGGGGGGATGTGGGGACTAAGGAGGAAAGGGAAGACAGGCAGAATGAAAGGTGAGTGGCGGGAGGCGACAGGAGGTGGGGGTCTCGACCCCGGGACGCTCTGGACTCGGCCAGCCCCAGGGAGGCCGGGCTGAGTGGCGGAGGACAACTTCTGCCCGCGTCCTCAGGTCCGTCCGCCCCCCGCGCGCTGCGGTGCCCTGCTTGCCGGCCCTCCCCGGGAGCCGGGGCTCTGCGCGCCGCCCCCACCCGGGCCTGGGGCCCGCGCCCGCCCCGCCGCCCCCCGACCGCCTCCTACCTTCGGGACTTGCAGGAGCAGCCCGCCGGGGCCCGGGCCCAGCCGGGCCGGGTGGGGGAGGCGGCGGGTCCCCCGCTAGCTGCGCCCAGGCTTCCGCAGCGCGCGCCCCGGCTGCGGTGCCATCCACCGCCGCGAGGCCGCGGGGCTGCGGGGGATTGCGGGGGGCTCCGGGGCGCCGCGCCGGGGGTCTGAGGCGGGCTCCGGCGTAAACACCCAGCAACGTGACCGGAACTGGCGAAGGAGCTGGAGGGGGTGGGGGGCGGGAGCGATAAGGGGGGAAGGGAGGGGCCGTGGGCGGGGCGGGGGAGGGGAGGCCCCGGCGCGATCGGGGGAGGGGGAGCCCCGGGAGCCCCAGAAGCCGAGCCGGAGGACCCCAGCGGGCAGCCAAATCCGCGGAGATGGCCTTGGCAGAGAGCTAGGGGGACCCGGGAAACCCGCCGAGGAGTTGGCGAGGGAGCGTGGGCGGATCAGCACCGCGGACAGCGCCCGGGCCCGCAGGCCGCGGTCCGCTCCGCCCTCGGTCGCCAGGGCGCAGCTAGAAAGGGCCGCGCCGCGCCGCATCTGCCCAGGAAAGGGCTGGGGTGGGGGCGACCTGGCCGAGCCCTGAAGTCCGCCCTGTGTCTAGGGAGACCACATCTGCCCCGGGCCTCTTCCTGGCTGCGTGACCTTGGGTGCGTCACATTACCTCTGGCCCAGTTGATCAAACACTCCAGTTCCCCTGTCTGGAGGTTCCAAGAACCAAAGAAAGAGCCTTTGTAAGTTCCAGAACAAGTCCACGGAACTGGTGTTGACATGCTTTTGAGCACAGTCTAAAGGTTTCTCTTCCCTTCCAGAGTCCCACTGTTGGGTTTATAATTCTGGCTCCATCCACATCTTTCTCCTTTTTGGGCCTTGGTATCTTTATCTGTAAAATGGGGATCGTGAGAGGCTGTGTAAGTTCGTAACATCTTTGGGTTATCCTGAAAATTAAATGAGTCAATACACATAAAGTGCTTAGGACAATACTTAGTCTCCTTAGGTGGTCATGCTCATGATGGCTGATCTCAGGGGACCAGATGCACTAGGTGAGTGGCAGGTGGCTCCGTGGTAGTGCTTTTCCCTCTGGGTAGCACACTTCCATCCCTCCCTTGAGAGAGTGGAGGAAGGGGCTGAAGAGACTCAGAGCAAAGTGTGGGACTGACTTTTCCCACTCTGGTGCCAGCCAAATACTCCCTGACCTTGTTTGCTAGGCTAAATTTCCAGAGAAGTCTTTTATCTTTGTTCCTAGAGCTGAGAGAGCTGGGAGACCAAGGAATCTGCTTATAGGGCCTTGAGAAGGGGACTTAGAAACTGACAGCCCTCACTGGCCTCCTCCTCCTCTCTGTGGTCCCTTTCCTCCTTCTTTTCCCAGTAAATTTCTGAAGTTTTACTGGACTTGGGTGTCAAGGAGTAAAAGCTTTAGTTGCTTATGGCAGATTCTAAGCCTCAAAGAGTGACTACCTTGCATGGTGTGAGAGGTGGCGAAGGTTGTGTTCTGCTTAAAATCCTCTGAATCCCACCTGTAAGGTTCTAACTGCTAGCTGCACTGTGGGTGTCTTATCTGCTCTTCATCCTGTCTGACAAAAATCTCGGGAGAGCAGAAGGGCCAGCCTCCTCCTGCTTCCTGGTTCCTTTCTGTTCTTCCTAAAGGACAGTGTTCTTGGGCGTGTAACTCTCTGGCCCTGTGTCTGGAGATCTCCAGCAGGGCTATGGGTTCTGATGAAACATCTGTGTCCTCCTGATGCTATGAGCTATCGGTAAGAATGATGAAAGGTAGTTTTAATATCTTCACAAGACAGGTGCTATGAGTGCACCTGAAATTCTGGGCTCTGATCCCTTACTAGGTGCATAATTCAGAGCAAGTTGCAGCCTATTTGAGTTCTACTTCCTCCTCAGTATAAAGGGAAGAATAGCATCCACAGGGTCAACAGGACCCTTGCAAAAGTGTCATGAGGTGCAAGTGAAGGGTGTGTGTGTGTGAAGTGTATATTATGACCAAGGCCAAATGTAGCCAGGGGTGGTATCATATGCCTGTAATCCCAGGACTCAAGAGACTGAAGCAGGAGGATTGTTGCAAGTTCGAGACCAGCCTGGGTTAAACTGGTTAAAAAGTGAACTCCAGCCTAGCCTGAACTGCATTGTGAGATCCTGCCTCAAAAAGACAAAAACAAGCAAACAAACAAAAAAACCAAATGTGGGCTGGGCATGGTGGCACATGCCTATAATTCCAGCACCAATGAGAGGATGCGGCAGGAGGAATTCAAATCCAGCCTAAGTAATTTAGCCATTTAGCCACACCTTGTTTTAAATAAAAAATAGAAAAAGCCAGAGGCTATATCTCAGTATGAAAGCCTTGTATTCAATCCCTAGTAATGCACCCCCCCAAAAAAAATTCAGATGTGTTTCTCTTTCACCTGTACCAAGGTGCAAAATGAATCCTGGGACTCTGGTTTCTCACTAACTAAAGCATACAGCTCCAGACAACTGACTGGGAGGTGACCTGGCTTTGGGGGACTCTAGTTTTGTCCTTTTGTCCTAAGAAGTGCTTGCGGAGTCCTGCTCCTGACCTAGCTCTTGGCTGGACATGAAACCCTCTAGGATTGCCCTCTGGAAACTTACAACATGTTTGGCTGGGAAAATTTATGTGAAAAAACAGGTGACATGTAGAGAGCAGCTGAGGGACACTTACTTGAAAGTGACAGCCAGCAGAGCCGAGAAATCTAAACGTAAAGGCAGTGCTGGGAGCTGGAGTGATGGTCAGTGGATTTAGGGCTGCCTCCTTGGTGAGGCTTAGGAACCATTTTGGAGACCCACGGTGTAACACTGAAGAAACGTGACTGCATCCCCTGTAAGTGAGGTTGTGGAGAGCTGCAGAGGGATATTAGGAAATGGAACACTGGAGATGATGATGCTGATAATCAGGATTAAGTGCTTTTTGCATGCCAGATGAGTTGTTAAATGTTGTTTTATATTTTTCATTTTTGTGTGTGCGTGCAGGGTCTTGAACGCAAGTTCTCAACATGCTTTGGAAGTGGCCCCCCAATAAGCCATATTCCAGCCCTCTTCTTTCTATTTCAAAGTTAAACTTGTAACAAAGTAAAGGTATATAAAAAGGTATATATACTTTCTTCAGAAGTAACTATTATTTCCGGTTTAACACTTTATGCATGCAATCTCATGTAAACTCTGGAGAGTCCCAGTTGGGCATCAGTCATAGCACTTCAACTCTGCCCAATACTTCTCCAGGTAGGGAAGGGGGCTGTGGAGTTTACGGGACAGGTGTCACTTAAAGGATCCTAAGAGGTCCTGTTGTCTGTGCCTGAAATCGTTCCATTTTGGATCAGTTTCCACCATCTAAGGTTACTGGTTTCCCTAATCTTTGATAATTTGGTGTCATTATGGTCATTTTTTCCTTTATTTTCTTCTGATTTTATATTAGCTTTGTGCTCCACATGTTTCCTTGAATGTACCACTAAATAATCCAATTCTGCTTAGTGTTATAGTTTCTCATATTAGAGAAGTAGTAGAATTATACCTAGAAAGGCTGGGACAGATAGTAACAAAGACGTATCTGTGTCCCTACTGGTCGAACACAACCAGTGTTACCATCTTTGTGTAATATCTTCTAATATTTTCAAGTACATGATGCATACTGAGTCTTCTCAAACATGCTATATTTTAATTTTTTTCATGTTCCTGTGTAGTCATAATTCCTGTAACCTCTTGGAGATAATTTCCTATGTTTGTTTTATGTCTTTTTTATTGAGACAGGGCTTCATTTTGTAGTCCAGGCTGGCCTTGAACTCACTATGTAGGCCAGACTGGCCTAAAACTCATGGCAATCCTCCTGCCTAAGGGTTTTTGTCTTTTATGTGCTTCAAATACAGTATTATTTTATAAAGTGATTTTAAATTTCCACTAAAAAGACGAAGAGCCCATAATCTCAGCATTCAGCTAATATAGAATGATAAACATATCACCCACATATTTCTAAAAAAGTCTTACAAAAATAAACATGCTCACGCTTCACAAAACAAAAATCTGCCAGGTATGGTGGTATGGGCTTGTGATTCCATACTCTGGGAGGCTGAGGCAGGAGGATTACAAGTCTGAGCCCTGAGTGGCAATTTGGTGACTTCACAAGACTCTCCCCCGAAAATAAATAAAATAAAAACAACTGGAGATGTAGGAGTTTGATCCACAGTACCACCACCACCACCACACACACACACACACACACACACACACACACACACACACACGCACACGGGAAAAGGGACATTGAAAGGTGAGCTGCAAGCCCACCTTGTCTGTGTCTCTGACCCCCTTACCCCTGCAGAGTGCCTCTGTGTTGGTTACATTCTTCTTCCCCAGTTCTTCCTGTTCTTTCAAGTTGAGATACAGTGGGAGTCTAGGAGGGGATCCTTTGGTTTTTATGTAGTCATGCTATTTTTATATTTCCCAGCCTGGCCTTAGACTTCTGGACTACAGTAGTCCTCCTGTCTCCTGTTTCAGCTGCTCAGAGACTTGGCTTTGCAGGCACATATCGCCACACCCAGCTTTGTAATCTTGGTTTTTATTGAACACTAGGAGGGCACCAAGGGACAGAGTGACAGAGGTCAGTCAAGATTCCCTTGGAAATTTTTTAAAAGACAAATGTATTTCAGGTTGGCCTTGAACTTACTACGTAGCACAGTTTGGCCTCAAATTCACAGTGATCCTCCTGTCTCAGCCTCCAGATGCTGGAATTACAGGCACACATGTCTTACTCAACATAGTTGTGTGCTCATGCACTGGGGAATAAACCCATGTTTGACAAGTGTTAGGCAAATTCTTTACCACTGATCGCTATCCCAGCCCACTCCTCTGGAAACTTCCAGCGCTCCTGGACACGTGCCCACAGGCTAGAGGAGGTAAATTCCCCGGATCTCAGACTGGCAGCTGGGTGTGTTCCTCTGCATAGTTTCTGCTTTCGAAGAATGGGTTGTTTGTTGTTGAGGCAGGTGGATTGGGAACGCACAAGACAACGTGGAGCAACCTCTGTATTTATAAGCATTTGTAGCTCAGCCCCTTCACACCAGGCTTGGAATGCACGTGCCTGTGAGACTGCCAGCCAGGCTGGTTTCTGTCCCCACCCAGTAAAGATGGAATCCCGATGGATTGGAGACTGACCCAGGGTGGAGCTGGTCATAAGGCTGGGCAAAGTGCTAGGCCAATGTTACACAGCTTTCGTTTGCTTTTTGGTTTCTTTGAGACACAGCTCTTACTAAGTATCCCAGGCTAGCCTAGATTGAGCCTCCGCCTCCCTTGGTGCTGGAGTTTCAGGCCTATGTAACCACATTTAGCAAAATCCTACCGTTTTAATTACTGTCATTTTGCGCTACTTTAGCATTTGT